GGGGACCCTCCCTCCAGAGGGAGGCCTGGGCGTGAGGCCACAGGGAGAGCTCCCCTCCTTTGGGGGCCTGGCCTAGGGGCTGGATGGGTGGGGGTCTCTTGCGCTTCAGAGGACGTGGGGGGAGGCCGTGGCCTCTTCCACCTTCTCCCGGGGGCTTCCTTCCCCATCACAGGTTTCTTGCGGGGGGAGGGGGGCTCCGAAAGCGGCCCCTCATGGCCTTTCTCCCCCATCTATTCCAGTGCCCCTTTTGACCGGATCGCAGAGATAAACTTCAGCATTGCTGTAGATGATGACAGTGTAAGTAGTCCAGCCGGCCAGCCACTCAGGGGTTGCCGGGGCTGCCCGACAGGCACGAAAACTGCACTGGTCCACCCTGAGACCCCTCCGCCTCCAGGGAAGGTGCTGGGAAGCAGCGGAGAAGCCTGAGGCCTGCTTGCCTGGCGGTGCTCCCTGTTTGAGTTGGATGAGCTTCCTTTCCTCCGTGGCTGCAGAAGCGAGGAAGCCCATTTCCCCCCCCCCCCCCCAACCCCCCCCCCTCCGCCCTGTCGAGTGGTGGCGGAAGCGGTGGCCTCCTGTGATTCATCCCGCCCGGAATGCCTGGCTCCTGGTCTGAGCCCTCTTGCTCAGCATTCTTCGCGAATGAGCGAGGCAGCGCCAACCACCGGAGGCCACTCTGGGCCGGGCACAGCAAAAGATGCCAGGGTTCAACTGGGAAGGCTGCCCTCCTCCCGTGGAGAGCCTGGAAGGAGAGAGCCAGCCCGAGCTCTGGGAAATCACACCGGGTGGCCGCGGGGCTGCTCTTTGCGGGGCTGGCCTCTCCCAGCGATTCTCAGCATTCGGCCAGCGGCCGCTCCAAGGGGGGGGAGGATCGCCCTGGACACACGTGTGCCCGGGTGAGTTCCAGGCCCTCCCAGCCCTACCCTCGCTGTCCCGTGATATGGCGCCCATTCAAACTTATGACCAAGTCCCCCGTGATGGTCCCCACTTGCAAGCTTCCTCGCTGCTTCCAGCTCCCCACCTGCCCGGGACATGCAGCTCCCCCGACTAACTTCGGCTGGGAGGAGCTTCCGCTCTGGGATTGAGTTGCCAATGGCAACCGGCAGTGTTTTACAGTCACCCTGCTTAGGGATCAAAATGTATTTATCACACTTCGGCATCACCCTTCTGACATAAGTGGCTCTGGATGGGTTACAATAAAAGAAATATAATGTAAAAGCCTTAACGAGAACAAGTTAAAAACACAATTTAAAAGAGTTATGGTATTAAACCTTGAAAGAATTCAAAAGCTTAGAGGACAGAACACCGTCATGGCTCCAGCCACCCCCCAGGTTGCAGCCCTGAAGGTGAAGCCTTTGTAGAGCCCCCTTTATCCCCGGGATCAGGGGGTGCCCAACGGGGCTGTCCCGGGCACAGCAAGAGCAGAGTGAGGACCGGTGCCTTGGCTGCTGCTCATTATCCTGCTGGGAGGTGGGCCTTCGTAGCGGCTCTAACCGGCGATGGGTTGGGTTCGTCCCTCGTCTTCCTCCCGGGAGGCTCCAGGAGTCTCTTGGCCAGGTCAACTCCTCTAGCGGGGAGCAGTGGGGCAAGGGAGGCGGATCCTCTGCGGGGCCTCCAGCCCCTCCCCCCTGCCCCGGTTGCCCTTGCCTGCCCAGGAAAGGTCGCCTGGTCTGAGCCGGCGTTCGCCTCTGCTCTAGGCCAGCGCATCCCTCTTTGAAACCTGCTGCAGTGAACGCATCCAGCAATTCGATGACAGCGAGGGGGAGGAGGAGGAGGAAGAGGAGGAGGAGGAGGATATTTGGGAGGAGAACGACGTAAACTACGCAGCCCAAGCCAAATCAAGGTCGCGGTAAGACAAAAACTGGAGATTGGCCCCTGGCAGCTGGAAGAAGAGAGTGGCCTTTGGGTCTGGGGGAGGCCTGCCCACCTGGTCACTCAGACAGTCAGAAACATAAAAACCACGTAAAAAGATGGCGTTTCGCCAAGGGGCAGCCATCACAAGGCCAGACCAATCCCCCCCCCCCCGCCGGAGGGGCGGGGCGGGGCCGAGCCTCCCGGGGGGGGGGGGGCCCGGGGGGGGGGGGGGGGGGGGGGGGGTGGCGAGGGCAGAGAAGAGAGGCTCTCGTCCTGGATCCGGTGGGTCAAGAATCCTTTAGCTGCAGCGCCCCTCCCCTGCCTGATCGAGTGGGACAAGCCAAGGAGGGGTTTTAAAATGTAAAGCAAATAAATACTATGAGATGGTTTGGTCAGATAAAGGGGATGAATAAAAACTGCAGTTTTTTTAAAGAAAAACAAGCACGTTGAGAGGAAAGAGAAGACCAAGAAGGTTCTGACTGGGATCCTAAAAAAGAAGGTGTGGGAAATGGAACGTTGTTCTAAACCGCCTGGAGTCACTCAGGGTAGGCAGAGAAGGCAGGCAGACTCCCTCGCCCCAATAGAAATGGGTCCACGCCCGTTTCTGCCCTTTGGGGCATAGAAGGGACTCTGCAGAAGGAAGCTTCCTTGGGTACCACAGCTGCTCACCTACCAGCCATGGAGCTCCGCAGGTGCTTCCTTTCCTCTCTCCCCCTCTCTCTTTCCCTCCTCTGAACTAGGGGGAGGGAGACCCCCCCCCCCCCCCCCCCACACACACACACAGTTGCTCTGGCAAATCTGTGGGTGGAAAACTTGGATGTAAACAGAGAGGTGGAAGCTCCGAGCCATGTTTGTTGGTCAATAGAATGGAACAGAACTGAATGGGAATAGAATGGAAGAGTTGGAAGGGACCTTGGAGGTCTTCTAGTCCAGGCAGGAGACCCTCTCCCATTTCAGGCAAATGGCTGTCCAGTCTCTACCTTAAAGTCTCCCAGTGTCAGAGCCTTCACAACTGCTGGAGGCAAGCAGTTCCACTGGTCAATCGTTCTGACTGCCAGGAAACCCCTCCTCCGTCCCAGGTTGCCTCTCTCCTTGGGGAGTTTCCACCCAGGTTGCTTCTTGTCCTGCTGCCTTCAGGGGCTTTGGAGAGCAGCCTGGCCCCCTCCTCTTCTTTGGGGCAGCCCCTGAGATATTGGAAGACTGTTATCGTGTCACCCCTGGTCCTTTTTTTCCATCAGACTAGCCAAACCCAATGCTAGCAGCTGTTCTTTATGTTTTAGCCTCCAGTCCCCTAAACATCTTTGTTGCTCACTCTTTCTAGAGTCTCAACATCTTTTTTTTACAAAACTGGATGCAGTATTCCAAGTGTGGTCTTACCAAAGCATTCTAAAGTGATATTAACGGTTCACGTCATCTTGATTCTATCCTCCTGTTAACGCAACCTAGAATCGCATTGTCTCTTTTGGTAGCTGTAACACACTTCTGGCTCATATTTAAGTGATTATCCACTAGGACTCCCAAGATCCCTCTCACAGTTACTACTGTTGAGCAAGGTACCACATGTACTGTACCTGTGCATTTCGGTTTTTCTTGCTAAATGTAGAATCTTACCTTTTTCCCCACTGAACCTCATTTTTTTAGATAGTGCCCAATGTTCCAGCCTGTCAAGATCCTTCTGCATTTTGAGCCTCCCCGTAGGTGCAGTTCCACTGAGGGCTAATCACTTGTGCAGTTCCTTATTGCCCTTCTGTTTCTGGGTCACTTTAGCTTTGGAGGACTTCATTCTGTGGAAGGTTCAGGCAAAGGTAGCCTAGAAAATGGGGAACATGGTGGCGGCATCGACTCTGGGGAAGAAGAGGCTGAGAAGGGGACAGCTGTCCATGCTGAGGACCCCTGGGAGGCGGACAACCAGGCCGCGGATCCCTCCTCTGAAGGTAATGAGATTTGGGAGAATATAGCCAGATCTCCGGGGCGTTGGCTACCCATTCAGAAGGGCTGCACCCCGCACCTCCTTCCTGTGGCTGTACAAGCTTCTTATTTCTCAGGGCTGCCAGGTTGAAGGCTGGAGGGTGGGACCCCAGAACTATCCGCTCCCCCACCTGTCTTAATTCGATGCCTCTGAATTGGCCAAGCGTGGCCTTCTGCTTTCTGTTCCCGGATGGGAGGACCCTGGTGCAGGGACTCAGCCCCGTGTGGGGTTTGAGTGCACGGGGCCACCCCAGGCCCTCGACGGAGACGCCGGCCCCTTGCAGGGCAAGACGGGAGCCGTGGCCTCCGGAGGGCGTGTCTGCGCTCGCCTTGCCCGTTCACGGAAGCTGCTTCCGCCCCAATCAGAGGGCCCGGAGAGCTGATCCCTAGCAGTTGGTGCCCCTGGACTGTTGGGGTTGTCCAGCTTCCTTCACAGGCTGTACAGAAAACTGGGGATCTGTTTCTGCCAGCTGGAAGCCTGGATTTGGGCTTAACTGTGAGGCACTTTCTAAGAAAGAGCGAAGGTGGCAAGAGCTATCAAAACAAGCACGTAGCTTTCAAGATCCCAAAGGAGCTCTCTCCAAAAGGCAACCGGACTTTCTCTGGGTTTTTTTTCCATGAAAATGTTTCGCTTCTCACCCAAGAAGAACTGAAGAAGCTTCTTGGATGATAAGCGAAACGTCTCCCAGGAAAAGAACCAAGAACGTCCAGCTGCTCAGCCGTGCCCTTTGAGATGACCACCCTCCCAGCGGTGCGCAAGTACGAACGGTTTTCAAGGCATTCGTTATTGGAAGGACCCTGAAGTGCAAGGCCCCTCCGCTGGCCTCCTCAAGCCACCTGGCTTCTCCCCCCCACCCCCCTCCCCGACTCCCCCCCCCCCCTTTGCCCGTCCCTGCTTCACAGTCACCCAGAGGGGGCTGCTGACCTCCTCTGAGCGGAGCAGCAAAGCCCTTGGCCAGAGCCGCGGGAGCCAGGCAGAGGGCACCTCCTGGCCAGAGAGCGTGTGCCAAGGGACGGGCTCCGGCGGGCCCAGAGAGCGCAGGCGGCGCAGAACAGGGAAGGGTGAAGAGCGAGGCAAGGCCTCTGGAGAGGACACTCGCTGGCTGGCTTCCCACATTCCAGGTTGGGGGGGGAGGGGGAGAGGTCTGGGTTTGAGCGTTGGAAAAAGGGGGTGTTTGAAGCTGGCCAGAGGGAAATGCCCTGGGGGGCAGGGGTTGGGGGGGGGAGTGGGGTGCCTCCTCCCACCCCAGCAATGGCCGAGGAGAAAAGCCCAGGAGGGCCGTGTGGGGAGCCCCGTGAACCTCCCCGTCTTCTTCCTTGCCGCACCGAGGGCCGCTGGGTCTGTGGGATGGAGGCGCCTTTGTCCTGCAGCTGAGCAGGTGGGGGCCCTTTCTGGCAACTGAGCTCCCTGGGCTGCCCGCTGCGGCCCCTGCCTAGCAGCCCCGTGGCCCTTTTGCCTTGCAGGGCCTGGGTGGAGGACGGCCGCTGAGCCCGTGAAGTCCAAGCCTCCAGCCTCTTGGGTGGCCACAGACATCGGGTCCAGCGTGTGGGATTCCGTAATGCCTGGCCCGAAGGCTCCCGAAGAGCGAGGCTGGGCCCAGTTCCCGGACTTCCAACCCTTCTGCTGGTAAGGGGACAGGGGGAGGCCCCGAAGGCTCAGGGCCTGCCGGGCACAGAGGTTCGCTCCCTGGAAGGGTTTCGGGGGTGCTCCGGAAGTGAGCAGAGAGGACAGGGAGGGACAGGGCCGTCGTATTCTGAAACGCTGGCCGACTCTGGGTGTTAGCTGAGAAATGGCACCTTCAGGGCCCGTCCTGGCAGGGACCCGATGTGTGGGGGGAGGAGAGGAGAGTTCTGGAAGCATCTAGAAAGGCGGTTCCTGACCTCCTCTGGATCATCTCGGGGCAAACCTTCGGGTCGCTCTTCTTGAGAAAGCAGCCGAAGGATTACGAAGCATCCCAGGCCATCGGGGCAGCTGCTGGTTCAATGGAAGAGTGAGCCAAGGTGTCCGCCCCCCCCTCCCCCCCGCATTAAGAAACGCCTCCTTTCCAGCCCTTTCGTGCCTTTCCCTTTCCCGGCCGGCCCGTGGCTTTCTCTCCCCTTCACCCCCTCCCCCGCCACCCCCTTGCTACCCGTGGGCGCTCCTTTTCTCTCTGGATGGGGCAGTTGAGGGCAACGGGGGCGGGGAGAGGAGGGGGCTGAAGATGCGGGACCCGTTCCCCTTAGAGACCTCCGGCTGAGGGCCAAGGCAGCCGCCTTCCCGTTGAATGACTGCCCTGATTTTGTCTCTCACTTGGGACAAAGGACTGGGGGAGGGGGAGGAATTTACTTTCCCGGAGCTGCCGCGGGGTTGTGGCCCAGGGGGCCGTGCGCAGGGCCAGGAACACTCCGCCCGAGCGAGCGAGCGAGCGAGAGACTTGGCCTTTCCCTTCCAGCTCCGAAGCAGCTCCCAGGTGTAGCTCCCCGGTGGAGAACGACTCTTTGGAGGGAAGCCCCAGGCAGAGCCAGGAGGAGAACGGTAAGAGGCTGCTGTCCCCTCCTTTCCTCCCCCAGCAAGGAGGGAAGGGAACTTCTGCGGGCCTTTTGGGGTGTCGGGGTGGAGAGGAGTCAGGCTCACCCTGTGCCTGTGCCAGGCGAGATGCTCTGGGATTCTCTCTTTCCGATGGGAAAGGCCATATGCCTCCCAGGGAGTTCTGCTGGAAAGACCCCTCCCTCCCTCCCCCTCCCTTCCCACCACCAGCTTTGCCTGCCAGCCTGCCTGCCTGCCCTTCTCCCCTGGCCCTGTTGCCTGTTGCAGGAGGCAAGGGACCTACCTGAGCTATAATAGGCCTTTGCCTTCTTCACCAGCTCAGGAATTTGAGATATATTTTGGACCACTGGTGTAGATTTAGTCAAGTTGAGGCAGAAATTTAGACCTCTGCCAGTATCCCCCTGGAAAGAAAATGGCTTGGAAAGAAGGCAAAGGCATTGGAGGGGACGCTTAGCCCCAGTTCTCTGTCGTTGGGCACCGGGCTTGCCTCAGTCCCACCGAGGCGGCTCCCTTACGGCTGCCCTGTCTCAGGTGCTCAAGCGCTCCAGGTTCTTCGGAGGTTTCGAATTTTGTCAGCTGGCAAAGGGGTCTCCCTCGTTTTAAGGCAGTGCACACAAGAGCCGAGCCTGGGCACGTGCAGCCTGGTGCGGGAGGAAGCCTTGCGTGATGGGGCATTGCCCGCTTCTCCTTGTACAGTCAGCGCTGCCGCCTCCCCTTGCTCCTGGAATGTCTGCGTGGCACGGAAGGCACCCTTGGTGGCCTCAGACAGCAGCTCCTCTGGCGGCTCAGACAGCGAGGAAGAGGAAGAGGCGGCCAGCGTGGTCACAGAAACCCTCAGGCCAGGTTCAGGCCAGGAAACCGCCCCGCTGACTGTGGACGCTAAGAAAGAAAAGGCCCTCTTCATCAGGTGCGGACGTGGTCAGCAAGGGACCGGGGGCGAGGGCCGAAAGACGCCCTCCAGACACCCAGGCAGTGGCACAGAGGAGCCGGGGAAGGCGGGGTAGGGGGAGAAAGCCCTCCAAAGCCGGAGAATGGAAGGGGGGGCATCGGTGGGACTCCCCCGGCGCCAGGAGCTCCCTTGCAGGCAAAGCCTCGTTAGGGGCCAGTTGAATGAACGATGTCGCCCTTAAAAGTCTTGTGACCCTTGAAGGACTTGGAAACTTACCGTATTTTTCAGACTATAAGACGCATCGGACCATAAGACACACCTAGGTTTAGAGAAGGAAAACAAGGGGAAAAATAGCATTCTGCCGGTCAAAAACAGGGCCATATTCACTCTATAAGATGCACAGACATTTCCACCCACTTTTTTTGACGGGGGGGGGGAAGTGTGTCTTATAGTCTGAAAAATACGGTAATTTCTTCCCTTTGCACTTCATAAAGGAAATGCCTACACAAAGGCAACAAGTCAAATAAGCAAGAAGAGTCCCTTAATCTCCAACTTTGCCCCCAATGTCCAGGTTACTTTCTCCCAGGAACAGCTTTTAACTGTAGAAAATTCAGTTCAAAACAAGGCACATACAGACTGTAACTAAAAATCCAAGCAAACAAAGCTGCAGTAATTAACTTGACAGGGCAGGAGAAAGACTTTCAGACTTGTGTGGGAACACTCACACAGTTGGGAAGACACCAGGACCACAGATAAGCCATGACGAGACCAGATAAATTTACAATTTGCTCCCAACAACTTGCTGCGTATAGCTTCCCTTTTTAAACACTACGTTCCCAGCTGCAGCTAATGAAGGGAATCAAGACCCTTTCCTCCCCCGTAAGCCATGCAACTCATGTTGCTCCCTTCTCCATTCCTCCCTGCATGCCCTAGGATGAAGAGAGGGTGGGCCTGGTCTTCCTCTGAATTCCCTCTCCCTTGCTCTACCTCTCCCTTGCTCTACCTCTCCCCTGCTCTGCCCAGCCGGACTGTGCCCTTCCCCAGTTTCTTCCAGCCAACGGAGCCATTCTCCCGCTCCCTGTCAGCTACTTGGCCTCCCCCTCCGAATTAGATTCCAACAGGGGCATGACACAACTTGAACAGCAGCAGCAGAAGCTGCTAATCCTCGGATCAGGTCCAGAGTGGAGGTGGAACCCTCCCACAAGAGTCTAACCACCTTTTCATCCTTCCTCTGCACCTGAAGCTTTGCCATGGCAGCCCCAAACTCTTCCTGGAAGGGGTGGGTTTCTCAGATGTGGATGTGAGGGGCATCCCTGAAGAACAGTTTTATTAAGAGGCCTTTAAAGGGAAGAAGCAACCAGGCCACGGATTTTAGGGTGGGGGTGGGGAGAGGCTAGTAAATGGCTTTGCTTCTCACGGGCCCTAAAAGACGAATGGGCTTCCGTGTAGAACTAGTTGACGTTCTGAGTTTCCTTGGCCAAAACAGACCCGGCCCTGCTTCGGTGCCCTTGATCGAGAGCAGTTGGAGGCAGCCTCCAGGCCAGCCACTAAGCGGGCGGGTAACATCACCCAGCAAGGAGCTGGAGATCTCCAAATTGCCTTCCTGGAAGGAAAGTGACCAAGGGGAGAAACAAGCGCGAGCTAAGGAGGAATTCCCTGACAGTGAGAACAACCAGCCAGTGGGACAGATTTTGAAGTTGTGGGTGCTCCAGCACTGCAAGTTTTTAAGAAGCGATTGGACAACCATTGGTGTGAAATGGCATGGGGTCTCCTGCCCCTGAGCAGGCGGCTGGACTAGGAGACCACCGAGGTCCCCTCCGACTCTTGTTATTCTGTTCTGTTCCTTAGCTGGAGGTGAAAGCCAGAGAAGCTTTGCCTCTCTCTCTTCTGCAGATGGTTCCCAGGAGGAAACGTGGCCCTTCATGGCCCGTTTCACCCCCTGAATTTCATTAGGGTTGTGGCTGGGAACAGGCCGGTGTCGCCCCAGGCCCACCAAGCTGGAGGAATTGAAAAGACGGTGCCAGGTGGTTCATGAATAGAAAGGGGATTAGTGCTGTGGATAGCTGGCAGAGGTGCAGATGGCTGGGGAGAGCGAGGACTCTGATGAGGGGTCAGGACCATCAGAGAGTGCACTGCTGCCTTCAGAGATTGTGGGGGGCTGGCAGCAGTGATGAGAAGGTTCCCAAGGAGCCTGTGCCAAGTGCACGTGCATGAAGGGTTGCTTGCAGGAAAGAACAATTACAGCAGCACAGGCGACTCGGGAGTAAGGCTGCAAGGTAATGGCCCTCAAGAGAAGAAAAGCCAGGTTTGAAAAAGCGTTCTTTGCAGAAGGCAAAGAAGCTCTGAAGCTCAGCTTGTGGACATTTGAGTTCGTGTTTGGAGAATCTTATAAATTAGTTCTTATCTCTGGGTTTTTGGCAGCATTGACTTGGCAAGGCTCTTTCTTGTTAGAGTTAATTAGTGGAAAGCAGCCTTTTATCTGCAAAGGAACAGAATTCGTTATTAAACCTTAAAAGGTGGGGGCTGCTGCCTTTGTCTGTGTTTGCTCTTTGGGAACCCGGTTGGGTCAGAACAATTGCGGGCTGTTCTGGGTGAATATAGGAAGTGCACAGGCCCGTTGAGGAGTATTAATGTAGGATGAGCGTTTCTTCTCCGTTGAGGCTCATAACGCCCCAAGTACCAGGTTGAGGGGAAGAGGGCTGGGTCACCGTTTATTTTTCTTAATAAACACGTGGTGCTGAAGGAGGCAGGTGCGGAGCTGGGGTGCTCAGCTTTTCCCCTCCTGGGGCTTTTGGCCTGCTGGGTGTGGGTGCAGCAACTGCACAGGGTTCCAACCCTCCCCTTGACAATTGTACCCTCCTTTAAGGGCCAAACTTTGCAGTGGTGGTTGAAATCCTCAAGCAGAATTCAGAGGAGTCCAATTTTTGGGGCTGACGTTAGACTGGAGTTGCTGGCTCTGGCTTTCAGGGCCCGGTGCTCTTACGACTTGGCAGACGGAGCAGCCTGTGAGCACGCAGGATGCGCCCAGGTTGAGCCGGGCTGGGCTTGACGCGTCCACGTTGCCCGTGGGCTGCAGCCCATGGGTGGAATTGGCCCCCCTTGTTAGGGATATACACCCTAGCAGAACGTGCAACGGTAGTCAGTCAGGCAGGCAGATATGTGAGATTAACGTTGTTGTAGCTTACACTCAGTAAAACAGATACACAGTGCTAGTTAAATAGTTTATTCCAGTAAGATTGTTATAGCATAGTCAAACAGTCCATATATCATACACTTAGTTCAGTCCGTCCGGGGATTATCCATTAGCAAAGTCCAGTGTCGAAAAAGAGGTCAGTAAACTTACAAATAATCAGTCCAGTAATATATCTCTTTTTGCAATAGAGATATGAAGAAAATCAAACCTCTTTTCTTCGTTCAGCAATAGCAGGGAAAACACACAGTTATCACCATCAATCCATCATTGTCAGCAATCCAGTAAAAGCCAGCAAACAGTGAGCTCTCTTGCTCCCTCTTATGGTGATTTTACAACCGCACCCAAAATACATGGTCTGCATTTAAAGTGACACACACAATCATAGTCTATATATATTATTTTACCCAAACTAAGTTAGGTAACCATGTTATTCCTAACACCCCTGCTTGAACCAGGCCAGGTCTTCTGTGTGCCTCCCCTCACACAGGCAGCTGTTGGCCCACAGAGTTAAGGATGGGGAATTGACCTGTCTCCGCCCATCGTTTGCTCTATGACAGATCTTACCTGGGAAAACGAGAACAGACTTAAACTTCCCAATAGGAGGGTCTGATCTGAATGCTTTTTCCCCTGGGAAGGTGGAGCCTCCTCCAGCAAGTCCCCCCCCCTCCCCCGATTCCCTTCAGGTAGGAGGAAGTCGGATGTTTCAGTTTTGTCGGCTTGCTTTGCAGAGCCCGTGTGCTCCCCCTCCTCCTCTTAGGGTGACCCCAACAGGGTGGCTCTTGGCTGCTGCTTCCCTTCTTTTTCCTTTCTTTTTTCCCTCCCTGCCCCCCGGCATCAAGCGAACGACGGCACGCCGTTATCCAGGGATATGTTGGTGTCTCCCCCCACCCCCCCTCCTGGAGACGTTGGCCAGAGCTGTGCCTATAAAGTCACTGGCCACCTAAGTCAGGTGCCCAGGATGGAGGCTGCTTCTCTGGCTCCCCCCAACGGAATTGAGCTTCGGGGGGGGGGGGGGGGGGGCAGGGAGGTCTGCCTTCCTGAGCTGAACCCGAAGGCCCCCGTCCCAGGAGCCAGTCAATTCAGCAGGCGAGGGATGCCCAGTCAATGTCTGGCTGCGAGGTGGAGCCGGAGGAGACCGGCGGCTGTTCTCTCCTGATGGCCCTTCTGAGAATTCGTTTCCCACCAGCCTTTTGGGAAGTTCTGGAGGTCTCAAGGCATCCGAACTGCCGGTCCCCATGGATGGGCCTCCAGGTAGCCGGGATGTTCCCGAGGGCCACGACACCCACCTTGTGCCGCCTCTTCCTCAGAACCTCCAGCAATGTCCTGGGGGGGGGGCAGAATCCCCCCCACCGGCTGTCCTTTCTCCCACCTTCTGATGGGCTTATTTCAGTAGCCGACCCTGCACGCTGTAGTGACGCTGGGCAAACGGTCTCAGCCCTTCCCTCCTAGGCGCCTCTGCTGGGGAGCAGGATGGACATACGGCCTCTCCTGGGGGGGGAGAGAGAGAGACGTGCCAATGCCATCCGGCAGCAGAGCTGAAGGGGCTGCGGGGCCCCTCCCAGGGCCTTCCTCCTCCCTGCCTCAGGTCCCACAGGAACGTCTACTCAAGCTCAGCCTCTCTGGGCCGAAGGGACTCGGCGGGTGGGCCAGCTGAGAAAGAGGCTGCCACTCACGGGCGGACGCTACTCTTAACGGCGCTGGGTTCTCGGTCAACGGCGCGATGGCCGCCAGAAGGCAGCGGTGGCTGAAGAATGGCGCCATAGACTGCAAACCCTCCAAGAGGGTTCGGCCCCAGCATGTGTTCAGAGGGGGCAAGTTTTGGCGGAGCTTCTCCTGAACCGCTCCGTGTAGGGCCAGGGGAGCGGAAGATTAGGCTGGGCCTGGCTTTCCTCCGCGAGCCTACCGAGACCTTCCCTGTGGCGGGGAGCCCCCAGAAGCAGCTTCCCGGCAGGGGGGAGGCTGATCAGGGCAGGCTTTGCCTGTCCAGGGATGTATTGATCGCCCCGCAAGGTCCTACAAGCGGCTTGGCCTGGCCGCAGTGCCAGGTTCCTGCCAGGCTTTCTTCATTCCGTCCACTGGCCTCCCGAGTGACCAAAGGCCAAAAAAGCCACCGCCAGCAGGGCTCTGGCCGGACGTGAGAGGTGAGGGACCCTTCCGGGCTCATGTTCCACCTTCTTCAGGGTTTCAAAGAGGTCCGTGAAACGGTGCCTGGTCCTAAGTCAGAAGGGGGGGGGGCACGACCCCGGGGGGGGGGGGGGGGGTCTGAGGTCCATTCCAGGACGCTTCCAGGAAACAGCCCCCCCACCCCCGGCCCCTGGGGTTAAGTGCTCCAGAGACGCTCCCAAGGTTGGCAGACCAGGACTCTCCCGGTGGAGCGTTCTTCCCTCCCGTCGATTCTCATGCTGTCCGTGAAGGTGACGGTGCTTACGGGAATCCACCTTGGATCCTAGAGAATCTGCCTGCACACACACACACACACACCCCCCTCTCTCTCTCTCTGTTTGTAGTTACGTTTTCATCAGGCTTTTCCCCACCAGGCCACTTCCTTGTTGAAATGGGCCTTCCTGCGTGCAAACTTCTTCCAACCCGGCCTGTGTGTGCTCTGGATGGCCTGGAGATCTACGCCGTGCCCTTCTTTCTCCCTGAAGCTTTCAAAGCCGGCCTGGAGTTGGAATCCCTTTAACTTTGTTGTCACTTTAAATGGACACTAATCGGAACCCAGTGAAGTGAAACCACGTTGCCTTCAACTCTCCAAAGTTCCCTTTCCTGGACAGCCTAGGATCTCATGGTCACGTCTCCTCCCTTCCCCCCCCCCAGCCCCCGGGCGCTGGGCTTCCCTTTCCTTGCATGCAGGGAGGCCTGGCCTTGCCTGCCGCTTTCAGGTGGAGGGCGCCCCTGCCCCAGCTGTAGGCCCTGCCTCCGACCCCCACCCCACCCCTGCGCTTAGAGTAACGCCTAGGGAGTCGCCTTGGCCTTCCTGCTTTAAGAGGAGGCCCAGGGCTCCCCCTACAAGCTCTGCACTCGGTTGGAGACACAGACACAGTGTTTACACGCTTGTGATGAGGTCCTTCCTTGCTCTGCAAAACCCTTCGCTGTTCCTAGTGTTTCCCCTCCTTTCTGGGCCATCTTCTCCTTGGCTCCCTCACCAAATCCACTTTAAAGTCCCATGAACCAGCTTTGCAAAGAACCGCCCTCTCTCGCGCGCATTAGGAGCCACTCCTGGTATAGAGGCACCCCAGGGGTTCCATGCTTCCCCCCCCCCCCCCCCCCCCTCTAGTCACCGCTTCGTTTCTGCTCTTCTTCCTCCCTGAGCCTCTTCAGTGGGGAGGCAGGCAGGAAGGGGCAGCTGTGCCTCAGGGCCTCCTGGCCCTTGTGGGCACCCAAGGCCCTTCCTTCCTTCCTTCCTTCCTTCCTTCCTTCCTTCCTTCCTTCCTTCCCTGCGGGTGGGTGGTGGCTCCCTTCCCCTTTTCCTCCTGGATCAGTCTCGGGGGGGTGGGGGGGTCCCCTTCCCTTCCTCCTGGGCTGCTGATCCGGCTGTGTTGGCTCTTCTCTCCTGCCCTGTCCTTCCCCTGCCCTGGCCCCGGCCTTCAGGTGCTCGCAGTGGCCAGACTCCCACGGCTGATTCTGGGGTGCTGAGAAGCAGGAGGTGGGGGCGGGGGGGGGTGTGTGTCCTTGTTCCTCTGCCATTGGCCCTTAGGCAGCCGGGAGAGTTTGCAGGGGCCCCTGGCATCCCCTCCCCCGCTTCCCCAGCCCGGGCTCTTTCTCCAGTGGGGGTCATGCGGGGCAAGAGTTGGCCCTTTAACCGGCTTTGGTTCTTCTCACGCAGCAGTAACAACTCTCTGACGGTCGACAAGCTGGCGAGTCCTCCGACAAGGGAAGCCACCCCGGCACTGGGCATTCCTCCAAGCTCAGCTGCAGCGGCTGCCACACCGGAGGAGGCCAAGAGGGACCACAGGTGAGGGCGGGAGCAGGCACCGGCTAAAGCCAGGTACTGGGCTGCTGGCGGGCTGTCGCCGAGGATGGACGTGCGCCTGAGTGGGGCTGCTCTTTCAGGTGTGGGTAGGGCAGGGCCAGGAGTAAGAGGAAGGGAGTGGAGCTCAGGGCCCAGGCGGGTGATGGCCAGCCAGGTGAGTTCCAGGCAGGGCCCTGCCCTCCTTGTCCCCCAGCCAGGATTGCGTAGTGCACAGAGGGTGGTCAGCGCCTGTGTAGCTTCTGTGTCATGGTGGTGTTTCACCGCACAGGACAAAGTCCTGGTTTTGCCTCTGGTGAAAGAGTAGCGGCTCTGCAGGAGGAGAGGCCAAAGGACCGCTCGCTCCGGAGGGAGGAACCGGGGAGGCCTCGTCTGGGCTCGGAAGGACCAAGCCTGGACTGCGGAGGCCGTGAGGGGAGATTCGGTGGCTGCCCTTGCCCAGCCATCCGGCCACCTGGGCTTCCTTTGGGAATGGGGGGGGGGTGGCTGGGGGCGATGCCAGTCCCCTAGGGCAGCCCCATCCTGGTTCCGGCCAGCTGGCTTCATCCAGGCTCTTAGGAGTGGCGCTTGTACCCCAACCCACCCTTCCGTCCGTTCAGGAGGCACCCAGAAGGTGGGAAACGCAGCTGCCAGGGCGACTTGGACCGATGGGGAGAGGCCCCCTCGGCCTTTCTAACTTCTCCGCCCCCCCCATTTCTCCGCAGGAACGAGGAGCCCCACCCGGGAACCGAGGCCCCGCTGAAAGGTCCCGCTTGATGAGGGGCGGCCCGGAAAGTGCCTGACTACAGCTGGGCTGCCCACATCTCCCTTGTCATCCAGGCTGCCTTCAGAGAGGACAGAGAGTAGAGAGCAGGCCCCCCTCTTCAGCCCGCATCCCCCCCGTGGCTCAAGGGCAGCGTGAGCTCCTCTCCTCTCCCCCTCCAGCTCCTTCCAGCCATGACTGGCCGGCCCGGTGCCCATGCTTGGCTTGGCTCTTGGGGGTGGGGGGAAGGGCGGGCCTTGTCTGCTCTCCTGGACTGGCCCAGGGACGTTGGGACGAAGAAGGTGGCGTTGGAACTTCCCCGCCAGCTTTTCATCAAGCAATAACGCCTCATCCAAAAGGAGGTTGGGGCAGGGGAGCAACGGGCAGCTGGTGCCCTGAAGGACGGGATCTCTTGTGACTCTTGGGAGGGAGGGAGGGAGGGAGGGACGGAAGTCAGCCAGCATCAGCCCTGGGAACCAAGGTGACCTTGCAAGGAACGAGGTCCTGGGGTGGGTGTGGGGTGGGGGGGGGGGGTCTCTGGAGACCCTCCCCTTTCACGTAGATGATTGGTTTTCCTTTGGTTCGTTTAATTTTGAAAAAATTTTAATAGAAGCAAGAACTGCAACACTTTGCACTTTGGACCTCATGCCAACCTTGAACATTGGAAGAGACCTTTGAGGAAGCCATGCCAGTATGGCCTGGCAATGCCCGAGGAGCGTGAGCCATGCCCTAGACACGAGATGTGGACCCCAGGGCAGCTGGGGCAGGGGCAGGCTCTCCCCCCCTCCCCAGCATAAGAATGGCAGGGGGCTGAGCTGCTACAGAATCAAGACTGTGATTTGGGGCCCTGAGCCGTCGTCGGATGGAATTGGCTCCTTGGTGCCCCTCCTGGTGTTTCCCAATGGCTTTGTGCAGCCACCTGCTCCTTGCCAAACCTCAGTGGGACTTGATCCTCAGCACTGGCATGGCTGGGCGGGGGGGGGGGGGGGCAAAATCAGATACTTTGGAATGAAAAACTGGAGCTTTTCTGGAGCGGGTGAAGAAAGGGAGCTTAAATCTGTCCCGGTTACAGTCCACCCCCACCACCCCCAAGATAACAATGCTCTGTTTTTAGGGAAAAAAACTCTCAATGTCTGTTGTCCCGTGTTTTTTGCAGATTAAAGGGTTGGTCAGAGGCCTTTGAGGAACAAGGCCAGCCCACTTTTCTCCCACTCTGTGAGCTGTGTGGTTTGTGGTCAGGGAATTGGTGGATGGAAGCCACGTCCTGGGTGTGTCATTTAATGAGCTGAAAATTGTTTTTTGGATTTTTTTTCCAGTGAAGGGATGTGGTTCTACACCTTCAAATCTGTTATTTTTGCAATTGCACAACATTTAGCTTGGAATGGTAAATCCACATCTGATCATATAACCCTCAAAAGTATTTTGTAACCCAAGTACTGTTTATTTTCTCAAAATTACATTTGTGCTACAAAAGTTAAAGATTTTTTTCTGCATTAATCTTATCTAGCTAAGCAAAAAAGTCATCCATACAACCATAAACTTAGAGAAAGCAATTATCTGAGTTACAAAAATGTTTAACCCAGCTTCTTCAAGCCTTGTTTTGATTAATTCTTCAACATCAGCCACCAACTTGCTTGCTTGTCTTGGCCTTTGATATAATCCTCCCGTATCTCCTGTGTCTGCCCTCTGCTCGCTGCCTCTGTGACCTGTTTCACCCATCTCTCCATTCATTGGGCGTGACAAGGCCAATGAGCTTCTTTATTTCCGCTGTACGTTTGCACATCAAAGGTGGCTCAGACCAGTCGGCCAGCTCCAGCAGAGAGGCTGCTCTGGCATTGATTAAAGGCATTTTTCTTGCACGTACAGAAAAATCTCCCAGCACGTCATCGTCTGCACCCTTCAAGTCAATGGTCTTTTGCACACCAACTCTCCTCACTTGAATGTCACCTGAACACAAGAGTGTGTGGATTATCATTTCACTGAAAGTGTACCATACTGAGCGCTGAATGGTTGGCAAAACAGCATCTACAGCCTCCTTTTAAAGTCTGACTTGCTGCAGCTGGAACAACATATGACACGGGCCTTCAATCCAGGAGTGTTTTACTTCTTACTTGAACCAGCAAAGGTAGTACACACCAACAATGTATTCCACTATCTGTCATGATCCCGACTAATGAACCCAAGCAAATCAAAACTGAGGCTGAGGTCTTCCTCTAAGAACTTCTTTATTGGGTACATGATCAAACAGAAAACCAACTCTAAATGTTTCCTGCGGTTTCAGTGTAATTACCGTATATACTCGAGTATAAGTCGACCCGAATATAAGCCGAGGCACCTAATTTTACACAAAAAACTGGGAAAACTTATTGACTCGAGTATAAGCCGAGGGTGGGAAATGCAGCAGCTACTGGTAAATTTCAAAAATAAAAATAATTAATTTGGGAAACGATCTCACTATCATGAAAGGTTTAATTGATTCACTAACCCAAAAGAAGAAGATGATGATGACAGCGGGAGGCAGGAGTCACTCTCTTCCCCTCCCTCGGAGGCCCCCTGAGTCAGGAGTCACTACCGCCGGCGTGGCCCCAGTCCCGCCACCTCGGGAAGGGAAAGGCAAAGCGCTTTTTGCCTTTCCCTTCCCGGCTGGGGCTGTTGGGAGTCGCTGCCACCGGAGGCCGCGACTCCACACCATTTTTTTTTCAGAGGGGAATCTGACTCGAGTATAAGCCGAGGGGGATTTTTTCAGCACAAAAAATGGGCTGAAAAACTAGGCTTATACTCGAGTATATACAGTAATACAGAAAATAACTCCCTCCCCAAAAGTCACAGGTCACCTTGGCCAATTAGGTTAATCAGCGGGCTTTCCAGGCACTTCTCCCCATCTCTATCCACCACCTGTAGAAGTGACCTTGGTTCCCATGAGAGCTGTGTTTTGTCTAGCAGCGTATTTCAGTCTCCCACCCACCCACCCACCCCTCTGGCAACTGAGAAATAGGAAAAACGGCTTCTGCCAGGTTCAATTCGAAGTTGACACTGACATTCTTAAGTTTTGGAGAGGTTTGCCTTGAAAGCCATGTTTTGAAACCCATAATCGACAAAGTCTGTTTTCAGTTCAGTTCTATTTTCAACTAGTGTAAATGGTTTATGGCAGGGATCCCCAACCTTTTCGACGCCGCGGCCCGGTTCCGGCATCAGCTGGGCGCCGCGGCCCGGTACCGGCGTCAACTGGGCGCCGCCATCTTTTTATGACGAAAAAGCGCTTCCAGTGACGTCACCGGAAGCGCTTTTTCATCAAAAAAGATGGCGGCGCCAGCGCTTCTGGTGAGCTTTTTCGGGTAGAAATGGCTTTCTACCCGGAAAAGCTCACCGGAAGCGCTGGCGCCGCCATCTTTTTATGACGAAAAATCGCTTCCGGAGGGCTTTCTACCCGGAAAAGCTCACCGGAAGCGCTTTTTTACCAAAAAAAGATGGCGGCGCTCAGCAACCAGCGGCCCGGTAAGGCTTGTTCCGCGGCCCGGTACCGGTCCGCGGACCGGCGGTTGGGGACCCCTGGTTTATGGGACTAATTTCCAGAAGAACCAGATCTGTGGGAGGTTATCCTGTCGTCATTGCCTGTGTGATCCTATATCCATACACTTGATCACTAGACAGATCCTTTACAACACTTGCTCAATGAAATGAGAGGCTCACCAATTGAAACTGGTGAATGAAGGATCAGTGTCAAGCAGTGTTGCGGTGTCTAGCATGCTGCCAGTTTTACCAGCCCATTTGGTTGTTAGACAAGGTCTTCCCATCCAATTTTGTGATTAAGTGTCATAGAGGTAACTCATTCCTGCAGAGTGCACACACTAACCAGATCAACTTCCGGTCAAGCCTGACCTCTACCCAGTGCATGGCACCACCTTCACAGGCAGTATTAACATTTGTAGAATCTCCTCCAGTGTCCTTTTGTCAGTGGCTTTCTTCATGAAATACACCAGATTATGTGCAATCATACGAGCAGGTTTTCCTGTTTTTGAGCCTTTCTCTGGAGTGAAATGATAGTTATCTTCCACCTGGCTCACTGCACACAGAATAATGTTCTTTGATGGTACTGGGGAATTGCTGGCCTGAATTGTTTCCTTTTAGCGTAACTTTAGTTGCATCTATACAGCCTTCGAAGAAGATGCGTTCTATTTCGCCCTTACAGAGCTCATCAAATTCTTGATCTAGGGACTTCATAATTTTTTCCTGGCCTCTTGACTTTATTGTGGTCAACCACGAGTCTCTTGTCTTCAGAGTGATCAAACCAGCATCTATGAAGGCGGCTGTGGTAATGGCAGCAGTGGCACCTAGACCAACACCATCTTATGCCCTGTACTGGTCTACTAATGAAGCATATGGATACAGCGATGTTTTATATTTCTAATCTATTCTGTCTTTTCTTTTGAAACTGAGGGCAATTGTGTTTGGTCGAAGGCTCTTCATAATTTCCATCACATTCCCTCTTCATCAGTCATCTGTCCATTTTGATCATGAGATAATTACTTATTTGTCAATATCAAAATGTCTGGAATACTTCTCTGCTTATATTTAGCAAGCCTTTGTCTCTCATGTTGCTACTTTCACCTTTTGCCTTGATCTTTCTGCTCGATCACAACATCAGACAAACTAATCTGGTGCTATCCAACCTTGTCTCTCTGACCTTTAACAAAAGCAACGGTACCTTCGTCTCCTTAGGGTATGGTGAAGGTGAGCTTTTTTGCAGCCAGCAGGGTGGCCAAATTCGGCACACAGAACAATTTGATCCTCGCAGTTGAGGGTGTCAAACAGTTAAGTTTCACAGTGAAAGTCTGACATCTAGCTTTCCTTCACCAAGAGCTACGTTTCTGGCTTGATCCCAGTTCTCTTGTTCAGGATTGTCACTTGTGAATTTACAACAGGGATCACAACAGAACTTTTCCCTCATTCCCACTTTTCAAGCACTTTTGGATATATGCCTCTTGCAAGACTGGCTGCTGGGTAGATTCTAGCGTCATCACTCCTTTTTCTCTCTTTTAACAGTAGGCTGTATCTGAGAATGTCTCACAGTGTTGGGAGTTCAGACGGCGGCAAGTTTCTGCCAATCCCAATTAGGTTGCTCATATGAGTGAATGTTCCCAGTCTTGTGTAGTTTTTTTGAAGCCACTATAACTAACTGGGACTACAGAAACTGCCACTGTGAGGTGGTGTGGTCTGTGATATTTTGCTAATGGATTGCCTTGCTTAGTGATGGAAATTCTGGTCCCAGTTAGTGGGGCAACCCATCCTTGTTCTATTTGGAAGTTGAGTCGTGGCAACAGGACTTATTTCCTTTTTGGTTTGAAACATTTTGCTGCTGCTTCAGTTTGAAGAAGCTACTTGGATAATACGCAGTGAAATGCTTCAAACCAAAAAGGAAAGTTCAGCTGCTACAACTCAACCTCCAGACAATGAAATGGATGCCTGATAATCTTCACCAACGTCCTCCCCACATTCTGTTTACTGGCGACCAAATCAGTTTCCTCAGAGCCATCCTTGAGTGAAAGCTGACCATTGCCCTCTTCCCTGCCTCCCCCCTCTTTCTTAGAGAAAGGGAAGCAGAGACTCCCTCTCCTCTCCCTGCAAGGCCAGTTGCAAACCCCCTTATGAGCCCCCAGGTAGGTTGGTATTACTGCAAATGTTTTCTTCCGGGGTTTTCATTCTTCCACTAAGCGCATCTCGTAATTCCACTATTAGATTTGTTCTTTTGATAGTGGATGTCATAATTAAAAGTGTCCTAGGAAAATTATATGGGATATTTGTGTGAGTGTGTGCTTTCAAGCGCTGACATTGCACTTTAATCACCCTCCATGCCTGAGGCCCATCATCCTCTGCTGGTAGTGAGGGCCCCTTGTCACAGAAGGAGCGCTGCAGTGGAGATGGAAACAGCTGGCAAGATCCAAACTGTGTACCAAAGATCGTCTATTCTATCTGGACTGCAGCTTTTCTTCTTACGAAGGCAAATGCTGGTGGTTGGAATACTCTCTTCCCAGTAACCTGGTTAGCAAGTGTTTTGCCCATTGCTATCCATCATAGAAATCTTTGGCTTGTTTACAAGTTCAGGCCCTTTCAGAAAAGTGAAGCCTACATCAGAGGGTTGGAAAGAACAGTTGGATCCAATAGCTGTTGAATCTGGGGGAGAGGAGTTGGCAGCAGCAGAGATCTTGGTTATAATGGCAATTATGAAAACATTGGGTCCGATCCATACATCCAAGCTTTCCAAACTGCATTATACTCAAGTGCAGGCTCTTGTTTCCCCACACCCGCCTCCCCTCAGTGAAACCTGACTTTCCAATAAAGCCTAACAACAGGCAGCAAGAAAGAGCCTCAGTACCTGCCATGCAACAGCATGCTGCCTTTGACCATAGCCATCATGGTTAATAAGTTGCTGCTTTCCCCTCCATGGAATCTTCTTATGGCATTGGTGTGTGCGTGTCACAAAACCTGTCCACACAATTATAATTTGAA